ATGCCGGAGATTATAACACATGATATATGCGCTGTTTCTTTCAATTAAAGACTTTCCTCGATCAGGAAATAAACACCAGAAACTTAATTTTCTTACTACGCTACTTCTATGACGAAGACAAGTCTTTAACTCTCCTTCCATGGGTTAAGAAGTCTGTCTTCGCCAGTGTCAGAATTAATTCTGACACTGAAAATCTTTTTGACATCCAGCATGCCTCTGTAGCAACACAAAGCAGCAAAATGCGAGGGAAGTCTCTGCCTTGAGCGAGACCTAACCCTTACCTTTGCCAGCGTCCGTCGCCAAAGGCCCACCGCGTTTCGGCCTATGCTTCATGTTCTTCAAAATCGTGACATAACAACTATAAACCTCTCAGATAGGCCCGCAAGGATATGTGACGTCACAGATATCAAATATCACTCCAAGTGATGGCTAATGGTACTGTATAGTTACATCTTCCGGCTCAATGGATGGAAATATCCTCTCTGGAACAAAGACGGCCCATGCAAAGGTGAAGGCCAAATGAGAAGGCGACAAAAACGCTCTGCTGTATTGTTACCTCATCGACTTTGATTACAAGGCTTCACGCCGACAGGATTTAGTAGCTTGCTTCGACAGTTACTCAATTAATTTAACGAAGCGACTCATGCTGAGATGTGGTTTCTTAAAACAATACTTCGCCTACTTAATTTGTGCTTCTTCATTGCCGAAGGACTAATGACGATCATCACAAATAAAAATGGCGCTTACAGCCCTCATACGCAGCTGTTTGCTCGCTGTATCAGCTTGTGAGGTCATTTTCCACATATTACAACAGGGGAAACCGTGCCGAACGTCCGGGTTTTTATTTTAAATGTTCAGAACGTATTCTTTTTAATTGTACTTAAGGCATTAGCTCAACATATGATGTCACTTATTTCTTGTAAAAACGTCCGTCACAAGACACTGCTTTTTTGCTTTTATCTTTGAATTTGTCCATCCTCTTTCTAATTTTCGACGCAATTCGAATAAGGTTTCAACCATTCCTTGTTGGTTATGAAAGAAAGCAAACCGTTCCAATTTCTGTTAACACTGTTTAACTCAGTTGCAAGCAACAGTACTGACAAAGTTAAAACTGTATCAGTAATACTTACTGTAGTCCAGTGAAGGGTTTAACAAAATAATTCCATTGATGTGTTCAGAGTCTCACACCTTCAAACATAAGGTAATCCTCAGGTAGAAGGCATTCATAAGTCATAAATTCAAAGCAACAAAATACTAACTGTAAAGGTTTCCCATAAAAGCATTGAAGCTAAGTGCATGAACCTGTCCAACTTACAACACAAGGGGTGTTCAAGTTCCAGGATAGAGGGGTGTCCAAGATATAGGGTATTGTGGCAATGTAAAATTATAGGATATTCGCCGGTTCCAATTAAAAGTGTCCAATATAGAGGGGTGTCCAGGATATAGGGGTGTCCAACTAGAGAGGTTTTACTGTAGTATCTTAAATTATACTATGACATCTCGCCTTTAGATTCTTTCCAGTTCATTAATCACAATATCAGACAACACTATACAGTCTGGGCAGCTGATAACGTCATTAAATAAACAACAAATAAATAAGTATTAATTGTAAGGCTGTGTGTAAACAACTGTAGGCATGCGGTTGCCTAGCAACCAGAGACTCGGTGCTGGGCAGTGTCATAAAATTCTTGGCAAACCGTGTTTTATTATACAGCTCTCTAAGACAGACCAAAATAGCTGAGTGGTGTCTTCGCAAGTTTGATGATGATGATGAACTGCGTGGCCACCATATGTTTCAATCCATTCGTTTCTGCTGCTTTAAATTATTTAATTAATTACTTGTGTAACTACAATTTTTTGAAGTGCGCATAATTTAAAACTTAACTACAGGTATTACCAAAAATACATAACCAAATAGCTGTTGTCGGACCCAAAAAGTTATCGTCATAATCGAAAGCTCATTTGAATCTATTCTGAGTAATTTCCGTTCGCATGTTCACGATTGCCTTCACTAATTTCAGTTTTAAACGTCACGTTTTAAACTCTGTTAAACGTAAAACACAAGTACTCACCCAACAACGCGTCTACATAAAAGTTTGCGCGTAAATATTTATAATTTTTAGTGCTGTTGCCCGAAGACATACAGCGGATATGTACAACATCGATGTAACAAGGTGGCCATTTCTCACGTTCGAGAAATATTTGTACAGCAAGCTCACTGAAGTAGAAAAAAAAACTTTTCTCTCTGCCTTATGTTATTCTAAGAACGGTTTCAGAACATACATGAGGTGTAGGGGGAGGAGGAGAATGAAGTATATGTTAGGCTGTAGACCTCGTGCTTACAGGCCTACGTGTCTATAACGAGCCGAGGGTCATGAGAAATAATCCTCTCTTTGAGATTTCTGGAACAATTGCAATATTTAAACCAGAGTCGAAATGTATGCTCCAGCCCGGAGTGCAGACTTTAAATACGTCCTTCACATTTTTCCTTCCCTCGTCCTTATCAACCGTGCGTCGTGGCAGATGAGGAAACAGCGAACACCAAAAGCACGCCGTTAAATTCTGACATTATGAGATTTCATATTAGAATCTTTAATGGCGGTGGGGTGCCGACGTTGGTCTCCTGGGATATAACGCCGTGTGGAATTGTAGTCGGATGCGAACGAACATACTGCCTTCGTCTTCGGAGTTCTCAGCCAGAAGACCAAAAGCGATGAAGTTAAAAGAGCTTGCAGTCCACAAACGCTAATTTCTCCAAATCACGTACACACAGAACGATTAAGAAAAAGACTCCGTGTGTTGGTTTTGTAAACAAGGCGGAAAAATTAAATAATCCCACTAAGCAGAGGAATTACTTTTTTAATTGAATCTGCCCCTTCACCTCCCTCAAGAGATAAATCCGCATTTCGTTGCACGGTATTTAAAAAGGCGGAAAATTCTGACGTGTGAGGTCGCTTGAATAATGGATTTTCGGGTCGATTCTCTCTCAGAGAATGCGTACATGTCTCCGTTTCATTATTTTGTGTTGCCCTGTGTAAGCACAATTTTCGTGATGAGCCGATCCAACATGCAAGGGTTCACAACAAACACAACTAAGAAGATTATATTTCAGAAATAAATTCTGCATCGGAGCAGGAGAGACGACCCAAGAAACAGAACAAGAAAGCGTGACTAGGCGTGACGTGCTTTGACTTTCTGACAAACGATCACCATAAGTGTCGAAACGTGACGAAGATTTACAAAGCGTGACCAAACGTGACCAAGCGTGACTAGGCGTGACGTAATCTAACGACGTGACGAGATGTAACCATAAGTGTCGAAACGTGAAAAAGATATTCAAAACGTTACCTAACCTAACAAACTAACCAAATCTAACCTAACCTAACCAAACCTAACCCAACCTAACTTAATCCATCCTATCCTAACCTAATATAACCCCACCTTTCTAACATTACCTAACCTATCGTAACATCTAACGTTTTGCAATGTTGTCAAAATTAATCGAGACTTACGTATATCGCGTTCCAACGTTTTTGGCCGCTCAACTTTGTGAACTGGAACCTCGGATCGAGTCACTTACCAGAAGTTTACTGGAAGGGCAATTTTAGGGCGTTAACGAAATACCAAGTTAGCGGACTCGAAATTGTAGGCTATATGACAGTTCAGTATTACGACCTGCGAACATAATTGGCTACAGCATTCTGAAATAAGAACCCAGAAACTGGTCCATTGATACAAGGCGAAGAGCAGGATATGTAACGCATACCCAGTAAGACAGAAAGATCTTTAGCATCACGTTCAAGGACAATTGTCTTCTGGGATTATATCGTCCTGATGATGGAGGCGGAAAGCACAACAAACATGCACGTATTGCACAAATAATGCTGGGTTCTGCACGTAAGTCAGTGGTAGGTTCAACCTAAGGTCCCTGAAGGTCTACGAGTCATGAAAGGAGAAGACACTATCTGCTAAGAGGACGCCGGATGAGTTCTGGACGAAGGTAATGAGAGAAACAGAGGCTTAAACGACGCTCCTTTTCCCATGTCTCTCTTTGAGCGCCACATACAGGCTCCTCCTACCAGCAGCGAAAACAAAATTGTTCGAGAGAGGCTTTTTCCTCTGTGGGAGATTATGGGATGTGGGACAGGTTGATTTCCGATTCTAATCCGACGACACACACAGGAAATCTGAGTTTCAGTGTCCCCACTCCCTAGACAACGTCCTCAATCTTGTTAGATCTCTCTTCTTCTTCTTTTTCCACACAAATTCCGACGCTGAGCATCTAATGCTGCAGTTCTTTCAGGAAATAGGTAACTTCCTGAGATTTTGTTCTGTTCTACTCTACTAAACGTTCAGATTTTTACAGACCAGAATCCTGAGCAAAGAAATTCTGGAATTTCAGTCAGTTTTAAAGGACAAGTGCGGAAATTTCTGAATATTGTCTTAGAATTTGTTTCTGGTATTTGTGTCAATGGACATTCGAGGAATTTTCTCTTTAGGCGCAACTGATTTATATTCTCATCATGCAAATACGGAAGTATGCAGGTTGAATTAGGTTAATTTAGATTAATGAAACTAATTAATGGTAAATAGTGTAAATTCGTTAAACGAAAACATAAATATCATAAAGAAAGTACGGACAAATCATATGATTAGTCATGTATGGTCAACATAATGAAAGTAAAATAATATTTGCATCTATGAGAGAGAGAATATAGGAGGATAATTAAAATAAATCTTAAAGAAATAGGCGTAAGTTACGAGGTTGCGGACTGAGTTCATGTCGTTCAGAATGGATCCCCGTCTTCTGAGATGTAGCACCGAGAATTCTGGTAGAAGTTTACCAACGTTTCAGAGGTTCCTGCTGCCTCCAACATCAGGGAATTAATTCTATTAAATGGTGGATACCGTGACTGAGTTGGTATTTTGTTAAGTGTGGTGTGTGACGCTTCGCTGCCAGTTTAGTCCACGTGTCAATGAGCTGTTCTGCCTGGTTCTAGTGGCCGTGGTTGTGGCGTTCTTCATCTGCTGGGCTCCATTCCACGCTCAGCGCCTTTTCGCCATCTACGGCATGGGCAAAGCGCCAGCACCGGTGATCCTGAAGATCTACGAGATCATGACGTACATCTCGGGCATACTGTACTACGTGTCCACCACGATCAACCCCATACTCTACCACATCATGTCGCTGAAGTTCCGACAAGCCTTCAAGGTAAGAACTCTATATTACGATATTCCTTTCCGTTCAACTGTCTGTTTACTGACAAGACATAAATTTTTGTGGTTTCTTTGGGTCGAGTTCTGGATTTACGGAGAAAAGCACACGTTTGTAGTTCCACACTGGGGTTCAAATATATAGTGCGCGTGAGAGACAGAGCTATGTACTTAAGATGGCACAAACTGTACCTCAGTTCCATACCGTATAGCAACAAGTAGGTTCTTGAAATTATCCCAGTGCTTTGTGACGTTCACCTACAATAATTGTACACTTTAAAGTCAGTCTGTAAAGGCTGTAGATTTACTGGGACGGTGATGCATCTTCGGGTTAAACATTTGGACACAGAAAATTTGTTTCTTTCAAATAATCCTTATTATAGCCAATCAGTCTGCATCTTCCATCACCAAACCTACGTACCTAAATGCACAAAGTTCATTGTTTCCAGCCACCGTGCTTAAGTCACGACTAATTTACCTCGATAATAGCCGGAAAAATTAACTTTGTATTACATTATTTTAGAAGTGACTACCGAAAATGCTGTGCATAGTATACGGAAGTAGTATAAATAAATTTTCAAATTGTATTATGCTACGTCTTTTAATGTACCGACTTCTTCATTTGAATATGAAGTCTTTCATTTCCAGAATACCCTTGTCTGTTGCTGCCGGTCTCAGGAGCCCAAGGGTCAAGGAACGCGCAGACCATACTCCAAGATCTTCAGGTCAGGCCATCGAGGGTCCCTGGGGACGAGCACTGCGGGTCAGGATAGCACCGAGTATTCAGGAAACTCTGTGCGGGAGGAGGTGCTGCTCAGCGGACCAGGAAGCAACGGATCCAGTGTGAAGGACTTCTCGGGGACCAGGAAGTGCTTCCGGATTCAGGAGCGCAATTACCCGTCTGGTAGTCGAGGCCAGGACTTCAACTGGGTGACCCCGGCAAACGATCAGAACAATACAGATCCCAACTCCAGACGATCATTTTCAGTCGTCGTCAGTCCGACACACTGCAACGAGAATGGTATTAAGAGCGTGCCAGCCGAAGACCCGAACCATCAGACTACTCAGACGAGCCAGAGGTCCATCGTGACGAAGATACCCAGAAAGAGCAACGTAATCATCAAGCAGAAGTCTAAAAGAAGCGGCTGGAATATTTTTCGAAACTTAAAGACATCTGCAAGGTTTGTAGACGATAACAAAAAGCTGTCGGTGTCTTACTCATTCACACCGACATCACCGAACCATTACAGCGAGCCGACGCAGACGATGAACATGGTTCCTCTGCAGAGAAGTGGCAGTGTAAACAGTTTACGTGACGCGGAGGACGGGCTGGCAGTCACCTTACGACAGGAGTGCTAGGAATGTCCTAACGACCAAGCACAGAAACCCCACCTATTTTGACTGTAAAATTGCCCGGCTCAGCGCGACATCGCACTGACACCGTGTTTTCTGGGTCTCCCATTGAAGGTCGTTTAGTTATCACACGTCTATAGATCCATTTAGATTTGTTTATACTTCGCATCGATCATGAATCAACGTTGGAGTCCGTGTCAAAGTTTAAAGAAAATATAAAACGCGCCGTGAGACACTCCCGACAAGACACAGAAGTTCCAATGCCTCACAGACGAAAATATCAGCTGACTGTGGATACCGACACGTTCCACCACGAAGCTCTCTATGGTACAAACTATTACTGCTGTATCCATCAAGACAAACCAAAATGGTGAATTCACTATCTAAGTCGATGTGAAGGTCCAACGTACAACTTTCTGTAATATTTAATGTTCTGCAACGTCAGTTATCAGATTATTTGTGCATAAAAAACTTAAGAGAGTAGCCCTGAATAATAGTGAAATTTGCATTCTGGTGTGTACTATCGGACAAATATGTCACTTAAAGATAACCACCAGGGTTTTCCTCTAAAAAGTAATGCCAATAACAAAAGTGAAAGGAACAGTGTTGTGAGCTCTAAGAGGTTTAAAATTAAGTTTTTGAATGATTAATCTACAAGAAGCTAAATGAATTCTAAAACCCACGTGTACTGTACGTTGTGACACGTATAATGTGATTAGTGGTACACGGACATTTATTGATTACGTGAGCTGTCTATTTGTGGCCTACTTTAAAACTCTTGGGGCATCTAAGTAAGAGGAGAAAAATATATGGAAGAATCATATTTGTTGTTATTTGGTGGCCCCATGAAACAAGGTTTGATTCTTCATAATGTAGCTCACAAAAGTAACACGTGTTGCCAGCTTTAACACATAAAAGTTGACGTAGTACTTTTAGACACCAGCAGAAGTACTTAGACGCACGAAGTCTCAGTTTGTGACTCACAACGAGGCTGAAACTTACAGAAGAGGAAGGTTTGTGAGTAGGCTTAAAAGAATGGAGCCTCTCTCCTCACCTTGAGGTTCGTAAGACGTGTTTCGAATTGCTTAACGGGAGAAAAGTTTATAAATTCTCAAAGAGTTTTGCTTGCTCTCAATTTATGACTCAAAAATTTGCCTCACATTTCTAGACGATGATAGATTATGAGAAGACTTAACTGAGACACTGCACTCTTGCTTTGAAACAGAGAAAAGTGTTTCTAGGTACGTCGAAAAACTCCGAATATTGATCCGTGTTTTACGGACAGTTGAGAATCAAGTAGCCTAAGGATTTGTACAGAGAATGCCCCCATACTCTATCTGCATTTATAACGCAAAGATCTGTGCTTAGGAAAAAATAGGCACATATATTTCCTAATGTTCGTTGTTTGTATCCAGTTGTATCAGATTGAAATGCGAATAAAATTAATTTCTTTACAGATACGAAGCCCGAACCAAAAACGAGACAATAGACACTGTGTGAAAATTTATATTTTACTGTTCTTGGTATTACGTGTTATTACTATGATTGATTCACTGAGCGCGATTTTGCGATTTGTTCCGTTTTACGTAACCCACATTGTCTTCAGTGCACACTTACATGTATTAGAACCATTTCGTACAAAGAACAAATATTTATTCCAGGTACAGGTCAGGGGAAACAATGTCAGCGAAAAATGTTCGCAAACAATTTTTCTCAACAGCGGAACATCGTTGCCAAACACTCGATGTTTTAGATCACTGCAAGTACATTTATGAAATCACACCGAACAAAGTACAAAACAAAAGTGAAACTAGTTGCCTGTAGCCTGTGTGGACGTATTTTTAACACATTTTCATAAATAAGTTATAAAACCAATCTTTCTAGTTCATTCTTTGTCTTTGTTTATTTGAGTAATCGCAAAATATTTGTGTGTATCTTTGGATGCGTTGCTGATAGGCTGTAATTGTTGTCTACATCGTGTTCATGATGTTCAGTATCGAAAAAACTGGCAAATGTTACGTGTTGTTTAAACTTATATGAACATGTCCTCGTTTGTGTAACTGTATGATCTAACATGGCAAGTCTTGCATGTCCATCATCTATAAGAAGCCAGACTTGCATAAGATTAATTCAGTCTGAAATACACAGAATGACGCAAGCTCAAATATAAAATATCCCAGACTTTGTAAAAGGTTATACATGTGTATGCATTTAACATTGTTTTTATGTTGTTATAGATGTAATAATATTTTTGAGAGTAAAATATTACACATTTTAAAACAAAAATTTTGGCGAATTTGTCGCAAGACACGACAACATGAAAGTTCAGTCTGATCTGAGACATGAATTTATGACGGCGATGAAGGCGTAGATCGTGGTCTTGCGGGTTGTGACACCGTGTGTGCTCCTAAGGGATTACCAACGTTTCGCAGGAACACATCGCTTCCATCTTCAGAAGACCACGATCGAGGGTCACCCCGATGTTATTTGTTTTAACAAATACATGGGCCAATCCGATGTCCACTTACAGTAGGGTAATTAAATTCGATGCTATTTAAATGTTATTAATGTTTATTATAATGTACATTTCACTTTCTAGCTGTGGAGAGCCTAATGTCTGAATGGGTTTTGTGTAAGTAACCTTACTGATAAAACACGACTCTAAGGGTAAGTACAAGAGTATTGATTTAGTATATTTTTATGCTGTTATAAATTTAAAAATATTTTTGAGAGTGCATAGTTTGAAGGCAATATGCCGTGAGATGTAACAGTGTGTAAAGACGTCAATCTGACTTAACTTTTTCAACAATCAATCAATCAATCAATCAAAGCAGTGAAAATATATTCCAGTGTAATTTTTGACCTCCATGATTTGTGAGCATATGTGACGAATCTTTCCTTTGTGCAAGTCACATTTTCTGGCTGTCGAGAACCTAATGTTTGTATTAGTACACTGTAAATAAAAGTTGGATAGAATGCGCATTTATTTACAATTTATTTGAAGGAAGACGTATTAAGATCTTCAGGCCCTGTCATCTGTTCCGATTCGGGACTAAGAATCTTCCTTAGATGGGGGATGAGACCATTGTAAAATAGCGTGGACGTCCATTCCCCAGAAGAGATTCGATCTGCGACCCTAGATCCGAAGACTGCCTACGCCTTATATCGCTCTGTCAGTTATAATATTGTACCTCATTTTTCTTTATTCTTTATCATATAACCACCTCCTGGACTGTAATATTACTTAATCGATCCCATGACTCAAGTAGCAGCACAATGAAGAAGCCAAGACTCAGCTGTAGAAGTAGAATGGGTTCTTACGTACCTACACACAAACGCACTCACATTTTTTTTTTTACAAAAAAAGGGTCCATCAGAGCGAGACGAGAATGAAAAGGTTTATGTCTCAATAGCCATGCTTAAATCTAGGGCCAAATATTTCGGATATTGATAAATTGATTCCAAGATGGGGACAATAAATTGAATCTAATGGGCCCACACATTACTTGCCAAAGAATTTCAGTATGCTCAGCTCAGATACTGGGAGCAGGATGGTAATACACAAGTCATCTATAAACTTCAAGAAAGCCAATGCCTCAGGAGAGAAGCATTATACAACATTATCATAAATTCTGATAAGCCCACTAATCCAGTTACTTAAATTGAAAATGCCACAAACAAAGAAAAGCAACATCAACATATCATGACGTAGGGTTTGTTCCAAAATTACTGTATGACTTTCCGACACGTCACAGATTAAATCCTTTGGTCTCATCCCTTTCAGAATTAATGTAGTTCGGATAATTCCAATGACAACTCTCTTCCGATGAAACAAAAACTAACCAAAAATCTAGCGATTAGTTGAATACATCGCAACCTAGTAGTTCTGTTAATATTAATTTGAACCATTGTACAAATTTAAGCACAACCATACCTGATTTCTTCTTCTTGTCCACATGTTGGTGACTATCAGTACTGCCTGTTCTGAAAACCTCGACCTGGCACTGCAACTTATTTTACTGTTACATACACTTGTACTTTTTCACTTATTACTACTTTGTAAACACGACTCCTTGCACAAAAAACGAGCAGCAGATCAATGTGTTAACACCACAGCACATACCACGTGTTGGTCGTAATAATTCAAATAAATGACGGTCAGTACCACAGGACCTCCGCCGTTCCAACATGCGGTCATACCCCCTAATACTTGACAATTTCGGAAGGCAGTTACGTCCCAAGAAGAATAATAATAATACTGAGCTTGGGGTTAATAATTGCACTTAATTTTATAAAGGTCCCATAGCTCAACAAAAGGTCCTATATAAAGACATATTCCTTCCTATAATATATTTAAAATAATTAAAGTATTGTGTGTGTAAGCAGCCCTCTCCCTCCTCTGATCGACCCACCCTATCGATCATCGATCGACTCTCAGACGAGGAATATGATATTGGCACATCGGATAACACGATAAACCTTGGCAGGATGTCGATACTTAAGATACAATGAGTGTCGCTGATAATTCGTTGTATACAAAAGGCAATCGATATAGGCTTACATCGTTGTTCAGGCAAGTAAGGAAACAACGATGCAGAAGAATAAAGTCAGGTTCCTGTAAATAGATTTTCAACCTCACAAACAAAAATAACAATTAATGCAACTCGGTTTTCTTTGTTTATCAAGTCAACCAATACCAATTCTTATGTCATCTTTTTTCTGGGCTCCTCGTGGGGTTGGTTATCCGTGCGGAGCGATGCACACGGTTTCGACATTGGCTGATCACAGCCTGTGCCGCAGTGGGTCCTCTTCTGGCCTTGGCATGGCTGGCTATTGAGTGTTCTGTGCGTGGTCTAGGTTGTGTTTGGCCTTGTTATGGGCTGTGTATGATCTTTATTGGCCATGGGCTGGGCGGGGCATGATAAGAGATTCGTATTGGTGTGGGCCTTTCTTGACATTTTCCGGGTTGCCCTAGGCCAGTGATGGCCTAACCTGGTTCTTGCCTAAGCAAACAAGGCCTGGTCTCGACGTGACACGGACTATCAGAATAGATAGATATGGCAGACAGAATTCCATATCCTAGCATTCTAGCGGGTAAGTATTTTTTATTTAACGACACCTTTCCGGTACGTCAGACTATGTAGCGTTTAATTAGACGATGTGCAAGGATATGGCTGTGGTCTAAGTTTAGGTACTGTCCCGGAATTTGCATGGAGGGATGAGGATAGGTGGTCTTCAGGGCGAGAGTTGAAGCCGGGACCTCCGTAATACGAAGGAGTGATAACCACTCGACCACAACGTCCACACATCTTAGTAGGCATGAACTAACTAAACTTCATGGCTTACGGAGCCCGAAGGTTCATCACCGAATTAACCAAAGCCCTCCACCGGACCATGTCCTGGGCTAGCAAAATCCAGTCTCCTTCAACTCCTAACTTCCATTGATCCAGCTTGATGTTTCCTCCCATCTACGTCTAGGTCTCCCCGGCAGTCTCTTCCCCTCAGGCTTCCCGTACAATAAAAAAGTGAAAAAAGTCTCTGAAATGTTGTGTTTTAAGAACACCCAGACCATGGACACAGTCTAAGAAAAAAACAAAATTACAATACATGCCAGTCAATACTTAAGGCCCTATTTTCCCAAATCCAATTTAGATCTGTAGGGAATTTTAGGAGATGAAAGTTGCAGACATGACCTCTTCATTGTGTATTAACTTCATTTTCACTGGAAGCAAATAACACAGAAAAACTTTCAAAACACAATTTCCAAACCCAAACAAATCCAAGAATGAGTGAATCAGTCATAGTCATGGCCACTTTATTATGTATATAACAGCCTTCCACATACACCATTTATGTTGGCGACTGGATTTTGCTGGCCCAGGACAGGGACCAGCGAGGGGCTTTGGTTAATTTGGCGATGAACCTTCGGGCTCCGTAAGCCATGCATGATTCCTGCGACATTTTTCAATAACACTCCCATTTTACCTTTGTTTCACTCGCTCCACCAACAAGTATTTGGGCCTTTAATATTTTTTAAATTTTGTATTCTTTCTTCTAACCCCAATGGTCCCTTTCAAGTCAAATTGTTTTCTTGTGGCAAGACCATGACTAGACTTAAAACATTCAAACACTAATATATTATGAAACAAAACACTGAAGTGATCTGTTCACATTGGTGATGTAAAGGTGATTATTCAAGGTTAAATCTGTCAAGAAATGAGAACAAAATAAAAATAAATCAGATTGACAGAAACATCACAAGAAAATGTGCTTTATATCACTCACACCCCAGGTAATGCAGCGTCCAACAAATTATTTAACTTCAAAATATACCATGAATCCTATCTTATCAACACTAATGTATCAATTTGCATTGCTGCCACCATTTCCATAAATACAGCAGCAAAAATGTTATGAGATGTCAAGTAAAGAATCAATGTTTAATGACGTTACTGAAAGGCCAGTAACGAAAACTCATCCCAAGATTTTCAAAATACAAGGTTAAATACAATTATGAAGTGCAGACATGAATCAATAACATTTTCATTCTTAGAACGACTGGAGCGTCAGTTATGTGAATGGTAACTGTAACACCAAAGATACGTAATAAATGATACCAGTGACGTATTAGAAACTTCACACATTTGTAAATTTATGTAACCATTTTTGTATCAAGTTTATTTGTAAAATTGAAAAAATGATTTCAACATGATAAATAATTAGCCATATTCACGTACCAGGAGATTACACGTGCCATGTGAACACACTATGAGAAACACACTTGCAAATAATCGTATAAAATGGTATAATTACTGTGCGCATATAATAGACAGACATACAGAACACTACCAGTTTAATCGCCCAGTGAAACACGCAGACACAAATAAAATGAGCGTCATCGTCATTATGCCTGCATTCAACTGGATCCTACTTTTGTAGGCGTTCTGTACCATTTGTTATTATATGTACGAGATGTACTTTTCTGTTCCTAAATTTTAAGATGTGGATCATACATACTCATTGATGAAGTTGGTTACGTAAGTAATTATGGTTCTTTCACACAGCAACAGTTCAAGATCGATTTACAGCTCACATCTCATTTCTGTTTTTAATATTATACTGAATTAAACAATTCTTTAACTCATAGGAAAGGCTGCATTAAGATAAAAGATGCCATATTTAATCAACATCTTTAGAGTTTCAATGTCAATCATCAACCGATGAAAGCGTCAAACGTACGGGCGGTCATTACAAAAGAATCGAACACTTTCAGAGAATTCTTGTGAGTAAACTGCAATAAAAGTCAGGCTGAAAATGGTACTTGGAGAGCTGCTGTTTAATTAATCAACGTAAATGTCCTTTAGCAACCACAAGTCAAACTGGGAACCTAACGGCAAGAGTTAAGCAATCCAAGGTAGGACCATCGGAACAACGCCCTGATAATCCGACCGGCCAGGACGCAGGCCGGACCAGTAGCCACCATGACGATCCTTGGGCACAAAAGCAACCAAGCAAGTGAACCAACTATCTCTGAATTAGCCAAGATTAGGGAAAATCAGGTGCCAATTGGCACATGAGGTGTTTACGGCAACTGACAGACCTCAAGAGGGTTAAGAAACGTATAAATTTTAACTGTCGCCTGTAGGATCTAAGTTTTAATGATGATGTGATTATAGATGGTTGTCCCATGAAGTATTTCGGTTATGTACCGTCGCAGAACACTGGCACTAAAATGTGTCCATCAACAGGATTTAGGTTTTGAAAAGTTTCATAACAAAACAATTATATATGAATCCCTACATGCTTCAGTTGGCACAAGCATTACAGATGATAAAGATCAAACATTCACAATTTGTCCCAACTTTATGAGGCTGGACTGAAAGATGTGAAAATCGATTATCTCATGTAAATTTTTCATCTCGGGATTTGTGAATTGTCATAACATGAAGATGTGGAGACAGAAAGTCCACACAGCTGAACATGTGTTGTATAGTACAAAGTAAACGTGTTGTCAAATGTCAGGAAGTAAGATTTGTGGTCTTGACGCAGAAGAGTCGATGCCTCGGCCTGACGAGGACCTCAGAATATAGATTTTTCAACAAGACAGCACAGCACCACACTACAACACTGCCGTAACAAGCTCACGAAAAAAGAAAAAGCCTGGGTTATTACGGACTGGCCGTGGAAGTCCAAGGCATGTCTAGCAGGGCACCTGATCTGGCACCTGCGGGCTTCTTTTCGCGCTATATCAAAATAAAGTCTACTTCCTACATCTGCAAGAGAATCTTCAAGAACTTCAGCATCCACTGATGAAGAACCTTTCAAAAAGCATGGGACATGTTTCAATACTGTTTGGATACTACAAATCTTAAATCAAATACTTTTAATTTCTGTATCTTGTTTAGCTTATTCACATTTTTGAAAGTGTCCAATTCATTTATAAGAGCCTTGCAGATCATTCTCTGTACAATACAAAATGTAACTAAAACTATTATTCAGGTGAGCAAATAGTCTTCAAAAAGGCAAATAAGATTTCAACCACGTAGGAAAGGGGGCAATGACAAGCTTTCTTATAAATTACATCTCTATATTTGACCAGTATGGTAAGTACACAGTACCACTAAAATCCATCAGGCCTAAACACGAAGAAAGAACCTCCAGTGAATAAATTACGCAGTAGCAAGGAAATTACGTTTTCACCGCCTGCCTTTCTCAAGTAAAGGCAGATTGGCTAAAGATGATAAGCCTCTTGGGAGTAAGAGCCTGGTTAGCAAAGTGAGATTTTATTACTTCAAAGAAATTTGTGCAATTTGCTGGAATCCAAAAACAAACGGGCTCAATTCATTCAACAGGTGATTCTCTTAAAAGAATATATAATTTTTTTAAATATCTGCAGATAAACACGTGAGCTAATCAATACTAACGGTCCAATTTAAATAAGAGAGTGAAAAGAGAAGAGGCCGGCGTCAAGGGGCGCTGAACACGAAAACTCGAGACTACGAAACGACAGGACGTAGCAGGCTGGAAGGGAAGAATTAACAACGGGCTAGCTCATCAGACTAAGATCCTCAATATTCATTCAAATATTAAATTACAATATCTCATCAAACAAGATGAAAAGTCTCTCTTGAATAAAACAGAATGATTCTTCTTGTACTTTACAAACGGTTCTTGAACATTCATTCAAAAATGTTTCGTGCCCCCGCGCGCAAACACGAAGCCACCGCTTGCAGGCGGCCAAGATTACGACGAGTGTTCTTGTGCTCCTTGCACATTACCATATCACTTGTGCATTGTGATTTGACGTATCAATCTGAACAGAGAAAAATGCTTAAATAGAATATGGGATGTAGATGTGGATACAACGTATATATAAAAATCTATCACTTGGTATCTCTTTGTCTTGAGATTCCACTTCCTTCCACGTTACAAAACCTATTCCATCGAACTTTACAACTACTGTTGTACTCTTGCCTTTTTTCTTTTCCTTCTTTTTCAAACTTGTACATCACAACCCAAATCACATCAGACCGCGTCGCCTTCATCGCCACCTCTGTAAAAATCAATCCTCCTTTTTGCAGCACCAATCCACTCGACAATGCGGCAAGTTCACAAGACAACACTTTGACTACCGTATTCTGTGTGGCAGAGTTGTTCGCCCACGGCTTTATAACCAACGTAACAAAAACAATTCCTTGGCATCCATCCTATGCATTTTCAATAATTTATGCAAGCACCATATCCAAACACCAAACATCTGCACTAATTTCAGAAGAATGATTACATATATCATTACTTTTTGTGCTTTAATTAAAGTAAAAAGTGCATCATGAGCAAAAAGTAACGATGCCTTGAGACTCTAACCCCAGTTACGCCACCCCAAAATACTGTTTCTTATATGAGGTGGTGGTTGCAAGCTCACGTAACATTGTTCTGTTAAGAATAAAGAAAGAGGAATGGTCAACAGTAAACACCCAGTACTCGAACTGCACTCGAGCATTAATCTGTAAAATATACCGATCTTTCGTTACAAAATTACAGCAGAAGGGAACCATGACAATACCACCCATCTTCCATTCCGTTCGTCCAGAACCAGAATTGAAATTTTTAACAATGTTTATTTCCTTTCACTACCTTCAAGCCAGATACATACAAGTGGACACACTGAAACTTGTGCTCAATAGCGTAAGTCCACACTTTCAACCACTCACAATAACAGCTGGATTGGTGGGGAAATTGCTTGTGCACAGAAGAGCAAGTTTGTATCCTGCTATTGGCAATGTTCAAATTTAAGTTTAATTAAATATTATAGTACATCAAAAGTTATTGCCTTCATGACTATATTCACAACACCGCGCTTCCTTTCTTCATGCAGACGGAGATCAATTATTCACACGCACACAAAGCACCCTCAGCACTGGTCACCCTCCTATCACGGGAGGGTGGCCGGACGAGCCGCGTCTCTAATCCTCCCTTGGGTAGGGAACACACGACTAATGCCAGAGATAAATTACTGACACGCAGTCATGTCAATCTGTCAGTCCAGAATTACCACTAGTTCATCCATGCCCCTGACATTCAATTTCCTCCAAGGTTTCCTTGCCGCCCTACGAAGCTCCGTTCCCGTTAGCTGTCTTCTCATTTTCCTGAAATTCAACAAAACAAGAAAACCTCAGGTAACCATACAGGTGAAAATACACATCAAAGTACAAAAGCTGTTTGTGCTTCTTGTTTATTCTTTATATAGAATGAAATTAAATGATATCATAAACTGTAAAAAGGACATTACAATTTTTGTGTACTGAATCAATATCTTGCGACGTAATATTGAATCTCGCTCGCCATGGCAAGATGGCACATACCTAGGCAGTTTGATTGCTGCTGAAATCGCCTTATATTGCAAGTGGTCGCAAACACATCCGAACTTTCAAACAACTGTCTTGTTGATTGTACACCGTCACATGATTTCATCAGAAAGCATTTTGGAAACCCTGCATCCTACAAAATTCTACGAGCTCAATTTGAAATTAAACTGTAATTTTCTATGAACTGTACAGAGTATGACAAAAAGACATTATTCTGAAGGTCAATTTTGACGAACGCTGGCTACACAATCAAGTTTGCCGATACTGATACTTGAAACAACGGTGCAAGAATATAAACCCACACCTCAACTATCTTGGTAGACACAGCGTAATTTTGAACTTGACTTAAAATTCTATGGTGCTCAAAGGATTACTTTTTGCTGTTATTATTCAAGTTGATTCATACTGTAGAAATACATCTCACATTTCTGGTGCAAGACTAAAAAATATTGACTGTGAAATGAAAGACATAAAATAACTGATTTAATTCAAGATTCTGTGAACAGTTAGCTACCTGTTCACAATTCACCCCATTCAATTTTTAAATAAAATGCTTCACCTCACAGTGACATTTTCTGTGACGACCACTTTCAAAAATCCATGTGAAAATTCCACATCCAAGATTCTGAACACAGAATTTTGGAGCAGGTAGCGGGAGAGACTTGAAGTATGTGGATGGAATAAAATTCATACGTCTTTAAGCACAAGAATGTATAAACTTACTTGGTTCCGTCTGTGGATCGAAAGTAGACATCATCTGGTGCATCCATCCAGGAAATCACTTGTTTGCGACCACTGCCTGAACGGGTCATTGTAGCAATTTTTGCTTTCCCATTAAGGTGATTAATGACAGACCGACCCATCATTGGAGAAAACCCTTCGGGGCCCCTTATTGGTCCGACCTCCTTGTTGGGGCGCTTGGCAGGAGGGCCGGGTTGTGGTACAACTATACCTGCAGACATTAAGTTGTAATTCAAAAGCAGCTCTGAAACTAAATGATGATGTTACAGTGAAACATCTTGATCCCCATATTACTTAACAGCTTCCAAGCAGAAAGTCAACAACCACAACTTGCAAGCTCATTCAAACGCAAAAGCACTGCACAAACCAAAGTCTAACAAAACTTTCATGATTAAAATGCATGACACTACTTTTATAACAAAAGAATGGGGGGTGGGGGGGTCTATAGCCATCAGCGTAAATCCTCTGAAGTCTGAGGGGTAATTAATATACAAGATCAGCTTAAATGACTGAAACTTTTGCTGATTTTGTTGTTGTTAAAGGCTCACGAGAGGATAACTGAACCTTAAATTTGGTTGTAACTGCTTGATCCCAAAACGCTCTTTCTTTGTACGGATTACCGTCTTCTGGGTTCTGATGCTGCGGGATCCTGCAGATGTTAATCAACATCTCACCCCATCACACAACATCAGAATCCAGAAAATCACAAACATCTTCACCACTTAAAAATTTTTGATCTCAGACTTTCTTTGTATTTGTATCAACAAACCCTCAGTACATGATACAATATTGTTACATAACATGAGAATTGTTTCTCTCTCTTGAAGTATACAAAACCATAATCACTCCCACAGAACAAGTCAGTCTAATGAGTAGCTTCTCTCAGAACTTGCCTTTGCTATTTTCAAATGCAGAAGGTCATCCATCATACATTTCCAGAATTTATAAACAGCAGGCAGTCAATAGAATACAGGAAATTGTAGAGGCTACTAAAGCAGACATACAGCAATAAAAGGAACACTTTGCCCTGCTAACACAATGAATTTCAACCAAAGACTAGTAATAAACCTAACATATAATGAAAAGATGAACAAGATGTAATACCATTTCATGAAATAAGTATCATATATTGTAAATTTATAATTTAAAATACATCACACAGGCAAAACAGACATGCAACAAAAAACAGAATAAAATTTGTTTCTGCAATGAGAAGTGCGACTATATCAGGTTTAGAAGAAGGAAAAAGTACGACAGAAAGTATTCGTCTCTGCTACTAATGAAATTCCATCTTACCTTCATCCCAATCCAAATCTGAGTTGAAGCCAACAGAGAAAGAACATGAAAACACATTTACTGAATTTAGTTAACAAAATGACAGTACAATTGTACATAAGTGTGCGTAAAATGATTCACAGGAAGCTAGCAATACTATAAACAATCACCAAAGGGGGAAAAAATGGCAATGAAAATCAAAATTATATATTCTATAATACTGTATTTAACACAGACACTCATTTTTGGATTGGAAAATTAAAAAATGAAGTATTCGTGAAAACACGCTTTGAAATCAATAACATATAGGCTGAGGAGGGGTTATGTCTGTCACTTTCAATTTTGGTTATTAGACAACGCCAGTAAATACATAAGGCTTTCAGCAACTGATCTCACGCACATGAAACAATTATCCGTTAGCTTGACTTGCACTAAATGCAAGTGGTGGTTAATCACAGTCCAAACTATCACATTAGTCTCCAGATACATAATTTGCAGACGTTACATTCAAAATCTAACTTCCCTATACCAAAATGTCAGTACTTTTTTCTAAAGATGTATTATGTACCGACATGTTCAGTCAAAAATATAAGAGACTTATTCAGTACTTGCACGATTCACATCATGTGCAATCTGCAATGTTCTTCACTACACAAATCCAAAATAGTACATTGCACTACAAAGCAATCAAGAAATGAAAAGTGTCATCATGTGGCGCAGTGAGAAAAATGGATAAAGCATACATAAGACTGAAGACAGTATACACTTTATATATCAAAATATTAGAAGCACAGTTAATGGGAAAATTTTACAGTAAAAATAATATTTATTACATGAACATTTCACTTCTTCGTCAGTGCAAAAACAAGACCTGTACACAAATATGACCGAGGATTAATTTCCTATCGCAGCGAGACGGTTGCAGACATAGTGAATAACTGAAAGCACAACATACTGTAACGGAGGTTTTCAAACTTAACTATGTGGCAAGGCATTAAAATAAAGTTCTGCAATATTTCTCTCATTACTGTGAAGTTGCGGGTGGTCGCGCATCTCAGCACATAAAGCGTATTCATACGGAGCTTTGAGGTTCTCATGGTGGCAAATGTGTTGATTTTGGTCTGCATTGTACCACGCGGATTTCTAGGCAGATATCGCGTTTTGGAAAAAATGTGCTTGGCTAATGTTGAGGGCAGTTTGTTTCTCTGAAATGTTGGGATCTACCCACAAATCCACAAAGTATTACAAACCAGAAGACCAAAATATTCAACCCACAAGATGGAGATTGTCTCTCTCTGAAACACTGGTATATACCTACAAGTCCACATGGAACGACAATCTGGAATATCAACATCAGTATGTTCATATTAATGTTCAAGCTTTCTTTTCCAGTCCATAGAAGAATTTAACAGATTAACAACTTTCTAGGAATGAATGATAAATGACAAGACTCTGATACAAATAATTTATTTAAGGTTAAAAATGGCTATTCAGAAACAGTACAGTATGTTAACAAACACAAACAAATACGAAAAAATTTTGTCCTTTGATTTTTTCAGCTGGAGTTCTGGTTTTTAGGGACAGTAAGGAAGTGGTTAACCATATTTTGCATCAACCACATTAAAAGAGACACAAAACTATATTTTCGAGGACAGGAAATGACACTTTGAATTAAGCCTTATTTTGAATTAATGAGGATTTACTGTAACTTCTGATCCTTACCATCCATACCATTTACTTCTTCATATGCTCTTCGTTTAAGCAGGGAAGGTGATATATTGTTCATTGCTGCCTTTTCAGCTTCAGGTTTATTTGGAACACGCTCATATAATAATGTACCATCTGAAAGCAGATAATGCTGGTTACGAGACTAAATTCCAGGTTCACTGCAGCTTGGCAAATAACAACAAAATGCAAATTCACTTCACCACACGACATGCCAGTAAGATAATTTACATAATTACGTTTTGCAGTACAAACATTACTGAAATAAAGGTGAGTGGAAGAAGCACATGATGGGAGGATGACAAATGATATAGAATAATAGACGTGTGGCCTATGTATGAATAAATATGGTTAAATACCGACTTGACGCATAAAGTATGACGTAAAGTACAAACCATACAGAACTTGTATTTAATTTACTATGAACATTTACCTGGAGCCTTTGGTGGCTTTGGGAATGACACGTGCTCTGGTTTAGGCATCATATCCTTGGCAGTAAGAATTAGCCAGTCTGGGGTGATGAGATTGGATTGACCCAAACGATTGGCAATGTGAGTTACGCTCCCTCGCTCCTTCTTCCGATATCTTAGCAGGTCTTTCAACTCCAACAGTGACTTCCCAGCCATGTGGACCTGACCTGGAAATATAATCACATAAATTTATAATCAACACAATAGTCAGAATTATGATAATTCTATCACTCCTCAATAACATAAATTTGCCTAATGACGCAAAACTGTGGTTGTAAATGGGCACAAATCACACATACTTCCAAAAGGCCATGTAAATGTCTAATGTCCCTCACCCCAGCGACTTTTAGGATTAAGCCAATGTTCATTACAGAAATATGTGGTGACCGATCATTCGAGGAATCGTGAAAGGTAGATAGATGCATGCGCCATCTACTGACAAAGGATAAAACTCCATGTTCTAAAAGACAGAATTTTTTGGAATCGCTGCTATCTGAACAAGTTCACGCATGGCAGTCTGGACAAAGTACCACAAAATGACTAGCTTCATATTGACCAAGTAGAGCACAAAGGAATACCATAATTAATGTTCACTTTCTAGGTAACAAGACATCAAATATCCAGTTTATTAAATTCCACTCCGACGAAAAAGAGTAATCGCAGCTTCGTAAAACAGAGAACTAACCTACTGATACCATCTCAAAATACCACAATCAGTATTCTTACATTCCTGTTTTACAGAAGGTACGTTGATTGGCCAGAACGGTGCTCTGGCAGCATGACGCGGTTGAATCAGATGTCGACAAAGCCGGCGAGAGATACGGGTCAGAGGTGTTGTACATAAATAGAAGGCAGTGCGTGTCTTCATAATGGGGCGTGGAGATCCAGACCTGATGGCCAGACCATGAGCCGTGGCATAATGTCGAGCAAGATGCGCTTTTAACTTGAACTCCTGCAAAAAAATTAAGAAACAAAACAATGTTACTGAAATACCATACAATATCACAATTAAACAAAGAAAAACACCTATTATTTAGTAAAGAATTAAAGAAGATGGTAAGAATGTAATATAAACAAAATCCATTTCTTTACCTGACTTTTCTATGTTGCAGTAACAGAAAATGGCAGAAAGCATCCATTTTATCGTAAGCTGTAATGTGGTTGACAAATGGGAGCAATAAGCACACATCAAATTCTGCATTAAACTACGAAAGAATGCGAAACCTAATAACTGATAAAACAGACATCCGACTCCACCAGTAAATCTCTGTTTTTTCTTACACACCTAGTTTAGTAGGAATTTGATTTTCATCCCAAGAACTTGTGATCAACTAACAAGGACAAATAATTCCAATGACGAAGTCTCGAATACTAAAACGTACCTTGCCACAGTTCACTAAACTGCAACGGTGTGGCCTATGGGACGCCATATTTGATGGCAGTCGTTCTGGAAACAAGAATAAAAGATCATGCTCATCATTAAACATTCCATGGTCATCCTACATCATTTCAAGTACAGACTTCAACCCATCATCCTGATTCTACTGCAAGAAAACAGAAACCACCCTTAACATAATGACAGATGCACATTACTTAGCAACAGCAGCAGTAAAACTCGTATTTAGTCTCAGTACACACAAATGCATTAAGAAGAAACTGATTATCGCAATACAACTGCTTTCCTCGTTATGGAATGGCAAAGGATAAAAAACAACATACCATCGTCTGACATGCTTCCGGACTTCTTCTTGTTGTCGGCGTCATTCTCGCCTGAAAAAGGGGTTAACCGTAATTTATTTTTATTACAAGTACCAACATCCATGCACTGCAAGAGACAACTCAATTACAAACACTAACCAATCTGATCTATATACATTTAGTGCGAGAAGATCAATGTAAAAAAATGTCCTTCGATCGCACCACATTTCATAGCTTTTTAAATTATGCGCATTTGGTACCACAGACATCCGACTTCTTACCTATTCTTGAAGGTACTTTGAGTCCGCCATACTTCTTCCAGTATAACCAACAATTGTGGCAAAGTTTGCACTGCATGTGTGACGGTCCCCACGCATACCACTGACTGGAGATCGTCACTACAAACAGAAGCAAGAAAATACTCACAATGGCAAAACAAAGGACAAGATAAAATAACTTTGAAAAACAAGGAGACAAATAAGATTTGTGCAAATTAAAAGCCATCTTTCTCTTTCAACAAAGAAACAAGGCTGATGACACATCAAAGTTACTCCAAATAAAACCGTAAAGTCCTTCTACACACCACTGAGGCACTTGAGGGAAGAGGCGTGTAGCTGAGACACATTCCTGACTTTGGTGCTAAATGAAGGTAAGTGATCAGCTAAACTTTACCCCTGGCACCCATTCGATAGGGGGCTGAGTGGGCCCTGGAGCTAGTCTGGATGCAGAGGCCAGAAGAAAAATCCTTTGCCCCTAACAAGGAACAAAGCCCCGTCATCCAGTCCATGGTCAGATACTACACTGATTGAACTACCCCAGCTCAAACAAAACCGTAGTACTGGGGGAGGATTCCTGATATCTCAGAATTCGCCAAAAATGATTTATCATGCTATATGGTACTGACAGCATTGTCACGAGACAAACATCTTTATTTTATTTATTTTCATTTAGCTGAAAATGGTCAAATTATATTTCGAATTATTTTTCCTGTATCAGTGATGACAGTGAATATATTTCATCACTAAAGGGAATAATCTAGTCTACATTTACTGCCAACAAGTCCTGGCTTTATACTCTGGTGGAAAAAAAGCCACAAATTTTTAGCTAATAGTTTGTTCCTTTTGACCAACTATTTTGTGTCCACAACTGCACAGTTTATGCAAATATTTTGTTTCACCGTGGCCATGAAAGTATTAGTATCCATGTCAATTTCCAATCAGAAGAAAGAAAGAAAGAATAAGGTCATTCTTCTATCCTCCTGTCATTGTGCAAAGATCACAAAGTACATAATTAGACAGTAGATATAAGATCATGAAAAATGTAAATTCGCTTATTTATTTTTGACATGCCCGCAAATTATTGTACTTTGAAATGTGAAACTGCTTCTGCACATGTAAATATTGCATGTTTGTACACTAAGAGCAAAATTTATTACGCAACATATTAAAGTAACCTTGTATGTACGAAAAGATAACAACGATGTACCCAATGAGCAAAACTGGCTTCAGCGGTTCTGCAAAGTTGTAAAAATGTACTAGGCTTCACGGCGATTCCTACAAGACGCGGATTCACAACTCAGAACACTATAATCTGAAATTACTCCAAAGCTTCCATTTTAAAACTTAAACTACGACAATCATGTTCCGCACTTACCACTACACGATTCGCAAGCTTTCCCACCAATGGGAGCGTCTCCATTGCTGTTCCCATTCACAATGCCTTTGTTGTTATTTATTATTGCTGGATTTGGTTTATTACTGGAAAGGAAGTAAGTACGGATTGTTAAAACTGTAATGCGTCCATAAAAATTCCAAAACCACTGGCATATTTGAACGTGCAGAAACATCAAAATTATACTTACTAATTAGGAATGTACACTTGTTTTAATTTGGATTCTGCTTCAACGGCCTTTACTCTTTTCTGCTGAACGTATCTGTCGGTCGTTTTCCACATATAATAATATTCTATTATATTCTTCAGCGTTTTCCATGGAAGCTGTAAATAAATTATACTTTTATTCACAGGGGTGTCGTATTTGCTTCCGTTATGAAGTTACTGCAGGTTGAGAAAGAGACAAATCATGCATCCCTGTGACTCAGGTCTACCACGTTATGAAGTGTTACTCACAAAGTCCTGTCGAATATCATTGAAATCTTTGCCATATTTTTCAAGCGCTTCTTCGAAAAGATTCGCCTCGGAGGCTGACCACTCCTCCATCTCGTCACGACAGAGGACGGGACCTGTCGAGGGAACTAGCGAGCTGATGGCCTCAGCCATGTTGTATGAATGCTTGTGGAGCGTGTCCATCGCATGGAACTACAAATATACAACACACAACTTGAGTTTGTAAAATACCAACACATTTTAAATGGGGACAGATCATTACGTACGCAGGGAACACCTCCCACTTTACTTTATGATGTCAATGGAGATAAACTTAAAAAATAATGACACCTTCCAACTGTGAAGTGCGTAAATACGATGAAGGTAAAAGGGCTGACAACACATTCTGGCAATGACCTCAGGTCATTATTTCACCAATGTATATGAGGCATTGTGGGTAAACCTCTCATGGCATCCGGTGTCTACAAATATACAGGAATTAAGACAGCGAGAGCTGTCATAATTGCATAATGACAAACTTAAAAATTTGTACTCGTCCCCCAAATATTGTCAGGGTGATTAAGTCGAGAAGAATGAGATGGGCGGGGCATGTAGTGCGCATGGATGGGACAAAGGGTGTGAAGAGACTGCTGGGGAGACCTAGACGTAGATGGGAGGATAATGTCAAGGGAATCTATGGAAGTTAGGAGTTGAAGGAGACTGGATTTTGTTGGCCCAGGACAGGGTCTGGTGGAGGGCACTGGTGAGTTCGGTGATGAACCTTCGGGTTCCGTAAGCCATCTAGTTAGTTACTTAGTTAGAGAACTATGTCATAAAAACACACCAGGCATGCTACACCCTTCCTTACTGACCAATGTAATATCTCGTGAAGCGGCTGCGGCACTCATGTGAAGACTCGGTTGTTTCACGGAGCTTGAGCAGTCCAGAGCACGGGCAAATGTTCCCACTGATCTTGAGATAACTAGAAACTGGTCAATTTGCCTATCAGTAAGATGATGCGATGGTGTCCACACTAACGTTTCCAAGTCCTCTAGGTTTCGGTTATCAGGTAAGTCTGAAATACAAAATATATATGCATAAAGTTAAGGTAGACCACACCACGTTACAGCTGAAAAAACAATTATTGTATTGGCAAAAAAATTGTAATGTTTGAACAACGTGACAAACCTCGAGTAAAACCAATTTCACTCAGACGCCAGTGGATGAAGCAAAGACGTCAAATTTTATAAACGTCTGAATTTAACTCATTTTTTTGGTATGGACAGAACAAATGAATAGGGCAGAAAATCATGTTTCACATTTGGAATTAAATAGTACATAGCACGATGTACAATAACTTTTGTGATTGCAAAATTAATTTATTTTAGTTCAGGCTGATCCTCAAAGAGGGTACTTATTTTGAAACTGGTAACAACAAAGAGCTGAAGTCCAGCTTGCATCACTGTAACATGAGGACTTACCCCATACAGTAAATGCTAATCGTTTATGGCAAGTAAAAGCTAAACATCATGAAGTCCATGACAGTGCAGAATTCTAAAAGTATAACTAAAAAATCAAGTGTACCAACCTTCTTTCAACAAAAGTTGTGGTGGGTCTGCCTGGTATCTGCTGCCAACTCGAATCTCCCCCTTGTCCGCTAAGAGGGTCTTATGTGTTGGGTCAAACACCAAACAGTAGAAAAAGGTATCCTGATGAATGAACAAAAGAAAATATCACCTGACAGAATGTTTTAACACAAAAACATAAATTTCCCTAGGTTCCTTTTTCCCAAATTACACCAACTCATTAATATTGTTCTCACAATAACCCTCTCTGACTGACAACATGCAGCTTCCTAGAACTGCGACGATCATCTCCTAAATTGTGACTCGATGCACAACAGGCGTTAAGAAAGTGCAATTACAGACACCAAACATGACAAAACACTGGATATTTGAGGTTCTCAACGCAGCAAAGATGCTGATGCCGACTGTGAGGATTTGTTTGGATTGGATGTTTTGGAGAAACACATTTCTCGCATACAAACCAGCACAAAATTTTTTAAAACATGTACAGGAGTAACAAGATGTGACTTTCAAGTAAGACAAGCGAGTA